TATAAGGCCCTTAAAGTAGTTGGCAGTGTGGGTTGGTTTTTTGTTGTTGTTGTTTGTCTGGTTGATTGGTTTTGTTTGGCTGGCTGGTTTTTTTATATCAGCTTAAGCCTTACATCCTGCCAGGTTTACAGCTGGCCCAGTTTGTGTTATGAGCATGTAAATCTTAGATGTGGAATATAACTATTCTAAAATGAGTGCTGTTTTTCTTTTGTCCAGAGTGTTAGACCTTCTATTTTCAAGTGATTGGTGTTACCCATAAGAATTTTGAAGAAATTATTCTTTCAATTGTCTATGAAGACTCAAAAGTGTCTGGTGGATAAAATATAGGAACAAAAAAAGGCGGCTATAGCAAGTATTTATTTGTAGAAGTTTGTTCCAGACCTACATAGGGGATGCTCTTCTTGTAACATCCCCAGTATTGTTAACAGGAGAAAGTAATTTCAGAAGCTTCAGTGGGTGTTAATTTTGTGGGCCTTTGCCAGCAAGAGAGACTAAGAAAGTTAAAACAATAAAGCACCCAGTTGTGTTTGTGATATTTGTAGTACTTGATCCTTGCAACCAGTCTGGCCCAGCATATTGATGCTTAAACTTAATGATGGGGATATCTAATCTCCAGGGCAGCCCTTTTAGGGCTGCAGATTTGCTTTCTTGGAGCCTACCTATTATTGCTGTTGTATCAGCCAAAGCCTCAAATCATGATGCAACCCATATTCTCCTATACTTAAGAGATGTTTAGGTGAGATCGTTTGTGACTAGCTTCCAGGTCCTATTATTATCTATGCAAACAAAACAAAACAAAACAAAGCCACTTAATTAAACAAGGGACAACCAAAAGTGTTTATCTACTCTTCTTCCCTAACTGCTCTTGGGTTTGGTTTTTTTTTTTTTTCCACTTAAATAAAAGGAGTGGGACAGGATGAACTTAAGTGTGTTCTGTGATTCCTTTGGGTGATGTCATAGTTTTCAAACCTTAATTGGAAAAGGGAGATTTTAAAATGCATAAGGGAAAAGTAAATGTTCAGTACTTGGTTAATAAGGTGTTGAAAGGTTTTGGGGACTTAAAAAGCCAATTTGAAAGTCAACTCCCTTGTAATGTTAATGTTTTAGGTTTCTTTCCTTTATGTAAGTCTTAAACCTGTTCAGCAGTTTAGCTATAGAAACTCATTTCCATACCTCACATGTATCTACTTGAAAAGAAAAAACAAATTCTACAATCAAGTAAGAAATTGATTCAAGTCCATTTTATCTATAATGGAAGATGAATGAAGGCCACTAGGTTGTATCCAATCTCCAAATATGATTCACTTTCCCCCACTTCAGAAGTGTACTGGAGGGGCAGAATGATAACCTTATGGTCAGGGACAGTGGCAATCAGTATTGTTCCTCCTCTACTAACAGAAAGGTTGTACTGGAATAGAATTCACCTACCCAGAACGAGAATGATTTCAGGTTATTGGATGGTTAGGTGAGCGTCTTTTTAAGTAAGTAATTACTTTTTGCATATTTGTGAAGTTGATACTTCTCAATTAACAAGAAAATAAGGGGTCTGAAATGAGGCTTCCTTGTTCATTCTGCTGTACTATAATGGTGTTAGAGATATTTCTGCTAGTTTGGATGAGCTATTTCCTTGGGCACTGTAGTCATCACGAATGTAAATCAAATAATTCCTTCATAGACACTTCTACTTCTGAAAAAAGTGAAAGGAGTGAACCACTCAACTGCTAGGAGTTAAGAGTATTATTACAAATAATTAGGACTTGTTTGAGAAGGTCCATATTGGACTGTGTTAGTTAAAATAGACGACCTCCTATATTTGCTGTAAAAGTATATTGTGAGGACGTTTGGATTTATCAGAATTACACTATTATATTATAGGAATGGCAAGCTTAAATATTTGCACTGTTTATTCTGAAAGACAGCATTCTTGGCTTGTCTTAAAAAAAAACAGGTATAATCAATATTCAGTAGTGCTTACTAAAGTAACTTAGTTTTGTGGTATTACGTGAGCAACAACGTTTGTCATCTTTGTAGGAAGAAAGCTTCTATACCAGTATAGTAGTGTACTGTACTATTCTCTATTATTTGTGCTTGGATTTTTTCCCTTCTGAAGTTCTCATTACATATTGGTTGTTGCATATTTTAAGATGAATATTCTCTGTGCTTATTTGCTACAGAAGTGTTAAGATGAAATTCTGGAAACTTGCAGTGAGGAAGATTTTTATTTCCTACTATAAGTCCCTTCATTAAAAGCAGTAGGTAGGCAGAGCAGACCATTTAAAGCAACTGTATTTTCTTCATCTGTAGATGATGGAGAGAAACAGCAAAAATGTTACAAGCCTTCGTCAAAAACCCCTCCAAAAGAGAGTTCTCAGTTGCCTGCATTGCCATTGGTGGACCAGGAGTCTCCATCTTACAAAGAAAGATTTATTCCTCCTGAGCTTAGCATCTGGGATTATTTCATTGCAAAGGTAAGTTTTTGCCATTATGACAGTTAAGTATCTTTTATCACTTCTGGAATGGTAGTGGTTTTTTTTTTGTTGTTTTTACCTGGAATATAGACTATCAATTTAGATTTGATTAAAGCTGTTCATTTTTATTATTCATATTTACCTTTTTCTAAAACACTGCCTATAGGTACTTTTGAAACAGCTTTCTTAAAAAAACAAAAAATAGAAGAAGAAATTCTTTTTGAGATAAAGGTGTGAAACACCTTTTGAGATACAGTGGTAACATAGAAATAGAAAGATGTTAATTTTAATAGCTGATCCATTCATAAGACAATATGAGAAGCTTTTTATCATCAGTCTCAAATGGGTGAAATGAATGTGTATACTTAACTAGAAATCAAATTACCTTCCCTTCTGTCAAGTCTGCTGTGGTAGATCTTTGTAGGAAGTTATGTAATTGAATAAAGCTTTATGGCACATTTCTGTATCAAATATTAGCCAAAATAAATATGTAAGCAGTATTTTAGGAGCAAGGGCAAAAAAGAAATTTAAAATACTGAATAATAGAGTGGGGTACAGTGGGATGGTGGGCTTATCATAAATATTGAACTCTGTAGACAGGGCAATAGGATTTTCTTGTTCTTTAATTGTCTGAGCTCTTAGAAGAGCTAGAGAGGAAATACACTGGTCATTTTAGCCTCTCTCTGACAGATAATGAGCATCTGTGTCCTGCATGTGGTTTGAGAGATCTGATGTGAAAGTAAAGCAAAATAAGAATTGGAAAACTCTTAGCATTTTCATTTTCAGCATTAGAATTTTGAGTATTGTAAAAAAGTTAGGCTGTTAAAATATGCAGGGCTTATAGACAGTTACCCTTTTCATGAGGTACAAATTCTAAATGTTGCTGAATTGAGTTAGATGACTTGTCTGCTTTTTTATAAAAAGCATTAAATACTATAATTACATAGTCTTTAAAAGATAATTTAAAAGTAGGTGTTGGCTAGAAGATACTCAAGGAATATTGTTTGAATTTTTAGCCTTTTCTTCCATCACAAAGTAGAGTGGAATATGATTCAGAAGAGAGTCAAGACAGTGGCGAAGATGAAGAAACTGATGGAGGTGTGTTTGCATCAGATTCACAAAATCAAGAGCATTCAAATTCAAATTCATACAGGTAAGTAACTCTTTAAAATGCAAAATGTTCTACAGTGGCTAGACTTGTATTTCTGGCCCTTTACTCTTGGTATAATACACAAGTTACTTGATATTTCATGGCAGTGCATTATCTAGACATAGTGGTGAATTTTTCACAATGATTTTTTAATTCATTTCATTAATACACTGCACAGTGAGTTTAGAATAAAAGATGTTTATAATATTCTAAAATACTGTTTGTAGTTTTCAGCAGTTAATAATGAGAATTTAAAGCTCTAAATTTAAGTCCTAATTGTGAGTTAGTGAGAAAAAATTGTTTTCCTATTAGTAAATTACTTACTAGTGCTTTCTTGTTAGTTGGTCACTGATGAGACTGGCAATGGTTCAGCTGGTACTTCACAATTTGAAGATTTTCTACCCTTTGGCTGGACATGATCTCTCAGGTAATAAGCAGCAGTATTGTCTTTTCTTACTTAACCATATTTAAAATCAGTAATGTGTTGAATAACACATGTTGTAGCTCTATTTTTTTATCAAAAGTGCTTAGTTTTTTCATGATCTGGGAATAATTCCTCTGATACTGTTTATCATACAAGTATATTTATGAAATAACATGATGGGTGGGTAAGATGAGTGGGTGAGAAGGGATGCTCAGTAGCTGGCAGAAGTCTCCTGTATACTTGCTTTTTTTCTTTGCCTCCTAGTTCTACAAGAATGTTTGCAATCCTTCATTCTTGATGGAAAACCTATAGTTTTTTGTTATTCAAGTTACATCGTTCCTACTCCTTGTTTCATAGAATCTTAGAATCATGGAATGGTTTGTGTTGAAAGAGAACTTTAAAGGTGGAAGTTCAACCACCCTGTCACAGAGAGGGACATCTTTCACTAGACGTTGCTGATCTTGAATATTTGCAGGGATGGGGCATCTACCACCTCTCTTCACAAAGAGTTCAAGTATTTCACCACCTTCATCATAAAAAATTTCTTCCTTATATCTAATCTGAATCTATTCTCTTTTAGTTTAAAACCGTTATTCTTTGTCCTATTACTACAGGCCCTGTTAAAACATTTTTCTCCATCTACCTTTTAAATCCCCGTCAAATATTGAAAGGCTGCAATAAAGTATCTCTGGAGCCTTCTTCAGGCTGAACAGCCGCAGCTCTCTCAGCCTGTCTTCACAGGGTAGGTGCTCCAGCTCTGTGATCATTTGTGGCCATCCTCTGGACCCGCTCCAGCACGTCCTTGTCTTCCTGCTGCTGGGAACACTAAAGCTGAGCACAGTGCTCCAGGTGAGGTCTCAACAACAATGAGACAATCGCCTCCTTCGCCCTACTGGCCAAACTTCTTTTTATGCCAGAACAGTTGGCCTGCTGGGCTTTATAGTACATAAACTTCTACACCAAATGGGTGATTTGACTAGAACAAACTTCCCAGAGAAGTGGCTGAATCACCATC